GAGTTCAGCACCAAATTGTGTTATTACGAGGTTACACTGGGCGTTGAGCAGGGCTCCCGTGTGTGTGTGTATGTGTATGTATGTGTGTGTGTGTGCGCGCGTGTGTTGATGCACGGACAGATGGATGGATGGAAGGATGGAGTGAGTGTGTGTTTGAGAGAGGGAGAGGGAGGGGTTGGCCATTTGATCCTCTGCAGCAAAAAAACAGAGATGCTCTCTTCAAATGTCAGCCGCCTTTAGTGGTGCGCAGATAAAAAAGTCCTCAGAAGCGGCGCTGGAAATAAACACCGGCCGCCGGGGAGGCAGAGGCTCGGGCTGCACATTTCGCCGGATTTTGAAGTGCTCATCTCGTCGGATTCACCCCGAGACTGTGGTGCGGTGCAGAATGTGAGCCTGTGCGTTGTGTTTTTTTTCTACCCCCCCCCCCCCCCCCCACCCCCCCCCCCCCCTTCTTTGTTTTCTGCTTAGAATGGCACGTTAATGTGCCTGTGTGGTGTATGTGTGTGTGTGTGTGTGTGTGTGTGTGTGCGTGCGTGCGTGAGTGTACGCCTCACGGTCTGTCAAAGCACCTGCGTCCTAAGATGGAGGAAAGAGATGAGGGATGATGATACACAGTGTTATGTCACCCGCTCTTTAAGTTGCTCTCCATCCTGTAGCTGTAGCTGCCTGTAACACACTGCTCATCATGTCACTGCTCTTTATGGGAAACTTCAGCTGCTGGATGAGATGTTGGAGAATCTTTCAGGGCTGGAAACAGGGAGGAGAGTCAGACTAGATCCATCTGAACTTACTTTACTCCCCGTGTCTCTGCTTGAAGAGCATCCTCCCTTTAGAGACAGTATCCACTGATGCAAGTTTGGCTTTTTAAGGGTAAAGTCTTTTAATTGCAGTGATATTGTTAATGTTAGGACAGGCTATATGAGAATGTTTCACTGACCTACTTTTAAAAGGTAAAGATCAGACATCTGTTTAAAACTGAGTCTGCAGTTGTAGTTGTCTGTGAAGCTTACAGGAAATGAAACCTATGAAAATGCACAGAATGAGCCTTTACTCAAAGAGAAAAGCTGCAAGTCTGTTTGGCTTCATGTTGACTGAATACCGAGCTCAATATTTAATGCATCACGGGCAGAAATGATAGAACACCTATTGTTTTTCTTCTGTTTACTTTTCCTGTGAAATGTAGCCCAGTTTCAGGGGATTACAGAATTAGGTTATCGGTGCCTTATGCTGTTAGTGGAGGCTATAACAGCAGAGTATAGAGCGTCATGTAGCACAGGCCCTGATCTGAAGTTGCTTCTGTGTGTGTGTGTGTTTTTTTTTTTTTTAGTTACAGTGATAGGGAGGAAACCTCTCTATTTATGAAGGGCTGAATGGCCCATGGTGAGGACAGCAGGTGCCGGAGGAGGGAGCGCAATAAACATGTTGGAGGAGCAGCTGGGGCCAAATTGCACCCTCGTCATTCAAAGCCTATCAGAAATCTAAGCAATACAAGCAAAGGTCAGGGTTGGCCAGGCTTTCAATGGAGAGGAGGCATTTAAAATGAAAGCCTGGAAATAATGAATTTCATGCCCTGCATTAAAAGGGAAATACATTTAAAAAAAAAAAAAAAGAAAAGAAAGGAAAAAGAAAATTAATTAAAAAGTAAGCCAAATGTGCATAAAATCTCAGATGGGCAGGGAAGAAGAGCATGACATGCAAAAAGTGTATGGAACATCACAAACTGCAGCCGTAGGCAGAGTCGACGCTCAGGTGCACACGTCCCTACAGTTACTGATGTGACACGTGTGTGCTGGTCCTCGGATGCTGAGGTCAGGGTGGCTCGAGTCGGCTGCGCCTTCCCCTCCACTCCCCGACACCTAAACTCCCATCCCATAAGTGATAAGACCCAGCACCTGCATCACAGTCACTGGAGTCTATTACTTCCTGTCACTGTGCTCTGTTGTGTTTGACCTTGAAGCTGCTATGTGAAAACTAAACCTCAAATGAAGGTTTGGACAGTATCTTTTTTTGTTGTGCTTGTCTAAAGATTACAAATCCAATTCCCACATCTGCCAGGTAATCTGATTGCTCCGTTATTTTGTGGGGCAATACAAAGAAACCAGTGAGTAATATAAGACTGTCCCGCTCCACAACTTTTGATTTCTGTGTCTCTTCTGCCATGCTCGCTGTAATCACACTAAGTTGTCTCTAAATCCTGCTTAACAGGACCAGGGGTGTACAGCTGGCCGCGGCCCTGTACGTACACTAATACTGTTACAGACAGTTCACCCTGGTATTTAATCTAACTATGGATTTAGGCCTCTTTGCTCCATTGTCCCAGTACAGTAAGCCGCAGGCCTGTAATGGTATTACTTGAGTCTAAACTTTGTTTTCTGGTAGGTTGAGTTTTTTTTTTTTTTTTTTGGTATCAGTTTGCAGGATAAATGTGTTGATTTTTTTTATAGCAGGAAACAAAAGAGATTTTCTAAACTTTGCCTCTCATGCACAATTTGACAAAAAACATATAATCCTGGCAGTAAAATAAAAATTTTTAATCCATTCATTTTGTATTCACCCCACCCCCCCCTTGTCCCCCTCCCATCCCCTCACTTCTGATTAGCCAAACCTCCCTGGTGAACAGCTAATTGTCTCGTACTCCTCCAATTTTCACTGCAAAATAACGAGCTGTGAGTCTTTTAGGTGGGAATGAGCAGCATCTGATCAAAGACTAAGAGAGTACATATCCTGAGCAGGCAAGGCTCAAATTAGTTTTGTTTTTCCATCAGTGGAAGGATGCAGATGTTCGGCTTTTTATTTCTTTTCTTTTTTTTACCTGAAACAACAGATGAAAGTATAGAAAGGTCAATTATTCCACCTTTTCTGTGATTAATTACCCGATTTTATAAACCCCAGCTATCAAACACATCAGGCAGGTTCAAACTGTCCAGATGTGTTTTTATGTCTGTAGCAGGAACAGTGGCTCAGGACTAAACAAAGTGAGCAGGGACGCTGACACATGGCCTGAGGCAACGTGTCCTAATAGAGCCCTGTTATATATTTGGCATTTAGGAAAGGCTCTCAGCTCCTTGGCTCCAAAACTAACAATACAGGATGGATGCTCACTTCGCCTCACTTTAAAAGAAGGAAGAAAAGTAGTAAAAACATATATAGAGAGATATATAAAAAAAAAAGGAATAAGTGATTTTTGCGTGCGTACAGAGATAGCTGAGACAGAGAGACAGAGATAGAGATGCAGACGAACAGTATTGCTGCTGTAATCACTTTTTTGCTGAGGGGGGGGTGAAAGTTGATAAACAAGCATTTTGCGAAGAGTGCTGGCTGGGCTTTGGCAAGGTTTGCATGTAATGGGCAAAGTAGGGATGGGCGTGGAGTAGGAGGAGGAGGGGAGTGGGGAGTTTGATGGAGGAGGGGGCGGAGGGGGATGGATGGATGGAGGGTAGGGCTGGTCTGCTTCGGGACCCCTCGGATACGGACACGCAGCCTTTTGTTGTCTCACCGACTGTTTGCTTTCAGGTTGGCGTTGCTTTTAGCGTGCACTCTGCTCTGCTCTGCGGGTTCACGCGCAGGACATTATTTGCAGGGAGAATCACTCACTGAAAAGGTAGAGATAACAGACGGGAAGGAAAGAAGATGGACAAATGCATCTTGCATTCTGCAAAGGCCAGGGATATATAGCTGTGCTCAAGTGAAAAACAGCTTTATGTTGTAGATATTTGAAAGAGCTACATCACTGCAGTCATTTTAAATTTGGAGCATTCATTTAGTTTTTATGTCAAAATTCAAATAATTTGAATGTTTTGCCTTGAATATCCTCTGTATGAATTATGAACTGTGAATGATTACTTTTCCACATTATTGCTGCCTGATATTACATTTTCAATAGCGTGGATTCAGAGTGCACTGACCCAAACCTTGGTCCGCTGGATGGATGGATAGGTAGCTCGTTTGGAGGAGGAGTCACTATAAACTCAAGGGCACTTCCTCTTTCACAATGTTCTGCTGCCTGCTGCAAAGACGCACAATCCATATAAAGGTGAAAGCTAAAGGGTATAGATGTGTATGTATATCCGAAAAAGAATCAGATTTCACTGTACCAGCTCAGCAGTGCAAAAAAAAAAAAAAGAGAGAGAGAGAGAGAGAGGGAGAGAGAGGGAGCAGCTGAAGTGTCTTAAAGCTACACTAGTTGAAAAGTTCAGCCTTGGGCATTCATAGAAATATACTCCACACTCTCCCTGAACTTGAAACTGACGGGGGAAGAAAAAAAATACGACCACCACGACTGTGTTTTGTATTTAACAGCTCCACCATCACCAGCGTCACAGAGAGTAGGAAGAATGGAAAAGGGATTTGTAATGGATTTAGTCTGTTTCTTCTTCTTCTTCTGGGCGACCAGTAAGATGAAGTGAAGCGCTATTACCTTGATGAAAAAAAGGGAAGAGAGGGGGAGAAAAAAAAGAGGTTTGATTTATGTATGATTCATTATTTACTGACCGTTCTTCACCCCGTCTCCCTTCGCATCACCCATCCCCCCCTACCCTCCCATGCTTATATATGCAACCTGAAAAGCTCGATAAAAATGTGCAAATTTGATTGATTCTAATAGCAGACTGACAGGGACCCCAGCTGGGGCACTTAACCATGCCTGTGTGTGTGTGTGTGTGTGTGTGTGTGTGTGTGTGTGTGTGTGTGTGTGTGTGTGTGAAGCATACACTCTGTTAGTTAATAAAGGAGCGTCTGCAGTATGCTCGAGTGCCCCGACCTTCCTTCAAAGTAGCACCCCCACCCTCCCCTTCTTTCCTTTATCCAAACCACTGCCCCATCCATTGGTGCTGATGCTGATGATTTCATATGACAACAGCCCCCCCCCCCCCCCTCCTTTTTTTCCTTTTTTTTTCTTTTCCCCCAAATCTTACACTCCCCTGCCCCTCCTCCTCGACTCACTTCCTTGTTTCTTCTCTTTCGGCTGCTAGAAAATGAGTTTCGGGGCGAGCTGGTGAACCAGCGGTGGACACGAGGCGAGAGGACCAGCAGCCGCTGTCAGGCCTCCCAGAGACTGCAGAGCCGTCGACCAATCATGGTGAGTGACAAGGCCCTGCAGCCCATCCCCCCCCCCCCATCCCTCTTCACCACTCACCACACCCCTACACCCCTTCCAACCTGATTCTGCTTCCTGGGCATTTCCCCAATCCCTAACTCAGCGGGGAAAGTAAAAAAAAAAGAAAAGGGTGGAGGCAGAGGGAGGGGATGATGGAGAAAAGAGGCAAGCTGTGTGTGTGTGTTGGGGGGGGAGAAAGGGGGGGTTGATGGCCGAGCTGGACAGAAAAACATGAATCAAACAGCACATCAAATCTCCCGCTTGGCCCTGCCCATCCTTTGCTTCAGCCCCGCTCAGCTTAGTTCAGTTTAGTTAAGCTCAGCATGGCACAGCTCAGCGTTTTCCCACTGCTGAGTTCACTTCACTTCACAGGACTTTTTTTTCTATTGAAACACAATAAAAAAAAAAAAGAAACTCAAAAGGATGTCCTTGAGCTGCTCATACTTTTTTGTCCATGATATTTCTCCTTATCAGCAGAGTAGAAAAATACAGTCTCTTTCTCTTTTTTAACCCTCTCTGCCACTCGAAACCTGTCTTCCATCTTTTTTTTTTACTTGATCCTAAAAACGTATGACCCACATTGCCACCTTTTCAAGGATATTTCTACATTCTGAAAACATCTGGTCCTTTTCTTTGAGATTGTGACACTCAACAAAGAGATGGAGGGATTGAGGGGAGATTGAAAGAGAGAGGAGTGGGGGTGATTGAGGTACGGGGGGGTTGTTTTCCCCGGGGCCCAGTAAAAGTAGTTTTGCTTCCCCCTGATGGCTCGGGTTCATCTGAAGAGATGACTTTTATTGATTTGGTTTGATTTCTGCTGCTGAAGGAGCTGAGGAGAGAGAGCCGCTGGTTTCAAACACTACATCATGTGAAGCGGCCCCCGTCTGTTGGGCCTGACACTTATGATACCTGCCACACAACCTTCTCATTATCTTTTTAGACTTGTGGCGAACTGAGATGAATGATACGGACTGCGGATAAGAGCTGAAATGATGTTTACTTATTAGAACTGAAATCACATCAGGATGACATGACTATGCTTGAACCTTTTTGCATATGAAGTGAGAAACGAGTCGTCTCTCCTCCTCTCTCCTCACTACTCCGGTCTGCCTTGCGTGAATTATTAAAGTGAAACTGAGGGCTCGCTGTGTGGTGATCCAACATGGAGGCTGCGCAGCGTGGTCCGCCTGTCGAGGGAACTGTGCTGCGTGCCTCTAATTGGCAGCTGCTGTCCGCAGGTAATATTTGGAGATGTCAGTCTTCGTCGGCAGTTGTGAGCGCTCCTCTCCCCATGTCTCCACCCCACCTTAACCCCCTCCTTTCTTCATCTGCTCTTGTAAACCTGAAAATGAATAAAAGAGTCATTTATGTGCACCAGGGGACGAAGGGTGACCTTCTCTCTGAAGTCATTGCCCCCAGCCAGCCATTTACATAGAGCTGTCAGAATGCAGAGCAGAGCCGAGGCCCTCCTGCACCGACCGTTGCACACAAAGAAGGACATAATTGATAATGTACAACACAGCCTGTAGGGATGAGCCGCGTCTTCCTCCTCCTCTTCCTCCTCCTCCTTCTTTTTCTTTTTCGTCTGCTGCTGCTCCACATCACATTTCACACTAGTTAAACCCCAGGATACACGCACACACACACACACACACACACACACGCTCGCACACACACGTGTATACACAAGCTGCTGTGCACACAGTTCTTGCATTGACACACACACACACACACACACATACACACACAGACACTGTACCTTCTTTTTTCATTTTCTTCTCTCTCTTGCCTTTTCCTTTCGCTCCCTTCCTCTGTTCTGCATAAGACGTTGCTGGTAATGTGTAGGCCCACCTACATACATCGTTCAAGGAGGCTAATTAAAAGACAACAAGGTAAAGGACAAGTTTTGAGCATACATTAAAAAGGACCGTTTGAAAGAGGTAATGAAAATCAGGTGAATGCCTCCCTGGCTGCATCTGGATTCACTGGCTGTGACTTTGTGTTCATAAAAATTTAATGAGCTGGAATTGAGAAAAAGGACAGGAAAAAGAGAACTCAGATGTGCTTACCTATTTAAATGTGCGTAACTATGGTTACACAAACATGAAAGCAATAGGGGCCCCTTTCAGTCCAGGTTTTGATTCATCTGATGACTATCAATGTAAGGAGGAGGCAAAGGAAGGAGGATGAAAAAGTAACAGAACAGTAACATGAGTAACAGAATAGTATAGAAGGTTTTCATGAAGGAGGGGCGTGTGTGCTGGTCTTATTCACGTGCACACACACACACACACACACACACACACACACACACGCATCTCTCTCACACACATGTAGGCCCTATTCACAAACATACTCTCCCCCTTGCTTTCCTTCCCTCCCTTCCCTCCCTAGTCATATTCAGAAAGGGGCTTTTACAGAAAGGGGGATGTAGGTGAAAAGACTCTATCTAGTTGTGTTTTGGCCCCAGTCAACTCTTTTCAAACATCTTCACACACTGCTGGGCCCCACTGTTTTAACAGTTAGCGTAAAGTAACGGATAAACAGCTGTGGATCCATTTAGATATTATTACTTAAATGTATCTATTTCAACCATTTACACATTTTAGCTAACTTTTACACCTGTTTATTCCTTAGTTTTTTCAACTATTTAAGCTGCTTATACTTTAAGATTAGCTATTTGAATCTTTTATCTATCACTGTTAGCTAACCAGCTGCTTGCTGACTAGTTTTCAGTTTCAGTTTGCAGAAAAACTGTCCTTTTGAGTGCTGTATTACTATACATCATATTATATGGTACTACTACTGCTCAACATATGCTACTTCATATGTTGAGCAGTTTAATCTTTAAAATGCATAATGTCTTATAAAGTAATGAATTTTTTTTTTTTTTAGATTCTGACAAATGTAATGGAGTAAAAAAACAAAATTTTCCTCTGAAATGTAATGGAGTTATGTATGAAATAAGTACAAAGTAGCATAAAACACTCATGGATAATACAGGAAGCTCAAAATTGTACTTAATTACAGCACTTATTCCACCCCTGCTCCTTTCACATATACATAGAAACAAGTGCAGACTCTGGAGAGTAAGGAAATGGACTTTGAACTAAACACACACACACTGACAGAAAACTTCTCATTGCACACTCATCCGCTCCTCTTCCCACACAGTGTTGTGAGTGGAGCACAGAAGGAGTCAACTGCTCCCTTCAGGCAGGGCACAAAGCTGCTGCTTGTTGCACGACTTCTACACTAGCAGCTCTTGATCAAAAGAGTGGAGGCCAGAGTGGCGAGAGACAGTGAGGACGAGCCAAGACGGTGGAGACCCACACAGGAAGGGAGGGGCTTGTGCCTGCACCTGTACCTCCGGCCCAACACTAGACGCTAATGAATGAAGTGCACCCTCCTTAGGGGGAAAAAAGAAAAGCCCTTAACAACAACAACAACAGCGTGCTTCATCTTCCTCTCATCCCTCTTTCCCTCCTTCTTTTCATAAGTAGTCTATTAGCAGGAAAGGGGCATTGCCAAATAGAGAGAGAGAGAGGGGAAAAAGAAGAAGAGAAACAGAGACCCCATGTTTGAATCCCACTGTGGCGGTGCCAACTTGACTATAGAGAAGCAACAAAGCAGCTAAGTGCCAGTGCATGGAGAGAGGGAGGTGTCGGCAACTGGGGGGATAAAGGGAGAGGTTTGGGGGGAAATGAAGGGGTGGTACAGGAGGGAGGAAGTGTGAGACAGAAAGAGAGAAAGAGGGGAGACCTGTAATATAAAAAAAAGCCCAGAGTCCAGTAATCAAAGCTAATGGCTCCATTGTGTCTAAAAAGCATCTGATAGCTTTAGAGTGCACTGAGAGCAGCGCTGAGCATGGAGAGGTAGTGCTGAGGAGGTGTGGCCGAGGGTCAATATGTATGTGTGTGTATGTATGTGTGTGTGTGAGGCAGCAGGGTTAACACCTGCTCCTTTGTGGCTTAAAAGCCGAGCGAGGAGTAAGCATCGGGCACGATAACTCACACACACACACAACTGCTCTTCTTAAAAGGGTTATTACAGTGGCTTTTTAGCGGACTGTGTGTTTTTTGCTTTATTATTATTTTCAGCATAGTTTCAGCCCCTCTGCTTACAGGGGCCGTGGCCCCTGTGCGGGCGCTGCCTTTTGCCTGTGCGCAGCGTACAATCATGTGTACCACTCAGGTGCAGGAAATTACAGGGAGAGTGATAGGACGTGTGTGTAGGGTGAGGATGGGGAGGGCATTTGAAAATAGCTCAAACAACAGGGTTTGTTTTTCCTTTCTGCTCCACGTAGCCTTTATTTCTGTCTTTATTTTGATGAAGTGAGCAGGGCGGAAGCCTCAGTATGTTTTTATTCTGTGGTGACAGAAAACAGTGGGTGAGGAGGGGCGAGGGATGATGGGAGCGCTGTTTAGGGGGAATTACAGATATGATCATATCTTTGTGTCAGTGTTACCTTTCTTGTGTTTCAATGGGAATATTCTGAGTGAGGTTTATTTTAGCAGAGGAGGGTGGGGACGATTAACTGTGGGTGCGTGGAGAAATACAGTGAGAGCATTGAGAAATCACCACTGATGGTCTCTTTTCTGTCTCTCCTCCTCTTTTCTCCTCCACACTGTCTCTTCTGTTTCTCTCTCCTCCTCTTCTGCTTTCTCTTTTTCCCTCCTCTCTCCATCCCAGATGAGTATAGAAGGTGATGATAAGCGGACTCGCACTCGGTCCAAGGGAATCAGAGGTGAGTGTTTGTCACTTCTCTCTGTCATGTCAGGCCCTGTCATTTAAAGGTGCTTCCTTCAAACTTTTCACTCACACACACACACACACACACACACACACACACACACACACACACACACACACACACACACATTAAGTCTAACAAGCATTCACTCACACTCCTTCACATGCAAACATCAGCTGAGAAAAGCAGGAGTTTGTGTTCATTTCTGTGTATATGAGCAATCCTGCATGTTTTCGTGTCTGTGTGAGTGCTTATGTTTTTGTATGTATGAACGTGTGCACATATACTTATTAATGAAGTGTCTGTCAGTGTGTCCATATGTACAATATGTGCACATGTGACTGTGAACATGCTGGGGATGTAAACAAATACATTATTTGAACATGAACAGATACAGTTTTAATCACTGGATGTCACACCACTTCTTCTTCTTACGATCGTAAGTCACAGAGAATCATAGCAACAGACTCTCCTCATGACTCCAGATCTAAGAGATTGCACTTATCAGATTCAGACTTTTTCTTCAATGTCAAAGTAATTTAGGCAATTGTTGTCTGTACAGTGAGAACAGGAAGTGCTAGAAGAAATAGCATTTAGACTCCATGCTCAAAACATGGAGGTGTAGATAGTTTTCAGCGCAGCATTCAGACTTTCTGCAAAGTTTATCCCGAATAATGTTTCATGAGTTTGCATCAGATTTGTTGTGCACTTGTGTTATTTTGACCTCATGCTCTTATTTTGAAGCCTGCCAGTTAGGGACCATCTTAAATGCATGAGAGTTTTCAAGATTTTTATCAATACATCTAGAACTCCTCCCATTTTATTAAATCATGCACTACTACACAATGAGTTCTTATATTATATTATATTATTATATATTTCCACCTGGACCATCAGCAGTTTTACAGTTTTTATTTAAACTTAATTTAGACTTTTTGTTTCATTTTGAAGATGGGGTTCTAATAAATTAATTTTAATTATTGATTAATTTAGAAACAGTACAAGTACACTATTTTGCAGCTAAACTTAAACATGTACACATAAAGAGAGAAAAAGGCAGTGAGTCTTGATGATCTCGCACTGGTTTAATGTAATGTTTAATGTCTATGTAAAATAAATAGATACAGATGTGAATATGAGCAAATGTACCTGTTTGTGTCTGTGTCTGTGCATAGACATGCATGTGTGTATGCAGTGAATATTGTGTCTGTCAGTGTGTGTTAATGTGTGTGTGTACACATGCGAGTGTGTGAATAACTACGAATTTTAGTGTATGTCCTATGTATGAATATGAGTGTATGTACATATTGATACATGTGTGTCTCTATGTAACACACACACACACACACTGTGTATGTGTGTGTATGAGTGTGTGTGTGTGTGTGTTTGTTTGATGTTTAGAAGCGAGACAGCAGAGCTACAGTTCACAGGGCGTTCAGGAAGGCGTCCAGTCATTCCAACTGCATGATGAAAGACTGAGAAACTGAGATGCTTCACACACACACACACACACACACACACACACACACACACACACAGCAACAGTGTGTGTTAGTGTGTAATTCCTGTGCTCTTAGTGTATCTTGATACCCGGGGTCTTTCTGACATGTGATTAATGCATGTGATATCGGAGCCCAAACTGAATTCTCTAGGATCATATTGTTTTCTCGTTTGCTCGAAATGAAAATAGGATATTTCTCCAAACTCATTCTATCGCTCAACTCCCAATCGATGCCTATAGCCAGCCGAGAGCGGTGTGTGTGCGTGTGTGTGTGTATGTTGTGTGTTGTTTGTGAGCGGAGCTTGATTTATGTTTTGAAGGCAATTACTATAAGTTGTCCCTGAAAGAAGTGCTGTTTTCTACTGATGAAGGCAGTTTTCCTTTTAATTTCATTTTCCCAATTATGATTACTAAAGTGCAACAATTAATCATGTTTTATTGCTGGAGTCTGCATATAATTGTCAGTTTTTCTGAACAGCACTATGCAATTTGGCTGATTTAGGTTTTCTCCTCTGTGTGTATACTCTTTATGTTAGCCTTTGTGTATGTGTGTTATTCATACAGCATGTTTGCGCAGGCCGGCGCTCATACTCCTGTTTGTTTTGTGCTTGCCTTTGAGAACATGTGTTTGTATGTGTGCATGTTTGCATGCAGATGTGTGTGTGTGTGTTTGTATGTGAACTCAGGAATGTGTAGGTGTTTTTCTTCCGCCTGATCATGCAGTCAGCAGTGTGTAAGCTGCTATGAGGAAGCCTCATGGGATTCATATGCATTTGTGATTTATTGATCTGAGTTTCTTTTAGCAGCACAGCTTTCTGAGCAGTCGTTCACCTTTGTTCTCCCTGCCTGTGTCTTTCTTCTCCTCCCCCCTCTTTCTCTCCCCATTTCTCTCAGTTCCTATTGAGCTCGTAGGACAAGAGCTGAGGTAAGGAAACACCTTCATCTTTGTGCAAACCCCTTTCATAAAGTTCTTTTATGTTCACCGCAGAGTACCCCCCCCCACACACACCCCCGGCACTCATAGACTCACTATCAGTGCTTCTTTAGATGATGTTGTATATTTTTATTTTTTATTTCTTATCATCAGCACTTCTCAACTTGTGGTCAGTGCCTCCAACAGGCTGGTATTGATTTCTCGCAGCCTTTTGCGATTTCCTGCTATGAACACATACAGTAGATGCAATGAAAGGGGGTGTATGATCTTTTTGCAATCCAATCGAAGAATACAGAGTGAGGAGAGAGGATGGTGAAAGATGATTATATAGTTTTTCCTCTTTCCCTTCCCAGTTATCCTCTTCCTCTACCTCCTCCCCTTTTCTTTCACAGTCAGGCGACGGCTTTCACGGCCTCGCCGGTCGTGAACCCCATTGTCCTCCCTCCTCTGCCTCCTTCTAAATTATTTTTTTCATCCTCTCTCATTTTGTCACACTTCACCTTTAAGCACTGATCTGTGCTCAGCACTCCAAAAAAAACCTTTCGTTTTCTGGATTAAGAGGAAGAAAAAAAACAGTAGGGAGGCCAGAGAGCATCTCATTTAAAATGCAAATGCAGCATTTTTTAATAAGCGAAATTAATAATTAGGATAATTGGAGTAATAAAGGGCAATTGCTGGGGGAAGTTAATGAGAATTGAAATGAGCCGTCCTGAGGGGTCATAGCAACCTGAATCAGGGGGGGAGAGAGAGGAAGAGGAGAGAAAGGGAGCGAGCGAGACCTGATGATGATGACTGGTGAGGAGAGCAGAGAAGGGGAAATTACAGCAGGTCTCGGCTGATTCTTATCGCTCATAGTAACAGGATATAGGCCAGGGTTGATGAACGACACACAATATTATGTTCTCCGCGGCTTGATGCCACCTGCATTCATGCGTTTTGTGTGTCTGCTGGAAGGATGTGTGTATGTGTGTGGGGTGGGGGGTGGGGGGGGGTACATATCTTTGTGCATGTGCATTTTGTGTGACATGTGTGCTCAGTTTGCATGTCTTTGCTTTGCTTTGTTTTGTTGTTTATCTTAATTTACTCCTTTTTATTGCCTGTGGTTATCATTGCCTCTGCATAGGGACTAAAATGCACCGTGTCTAAACATATCTCTAACCTCCATCCATCTCATCCAGCTGCCCCACCCCTGGATGCAATGGCTCTGGCCATATCAGTGGGAGATACTCACGACACAGAAGGTAGGGCAGATTAAAAACCCACCCTCTGTCTGTCCTTCCTCTCTGTCTGTCTGTCCTCCTCGTCCTCTCTGCCCCACATCATCTGCTTGGTGGAAAACACCACGTTTCACTTCAGTCTGTTAAAGGAATAGTTTATATACATTTATTTGTTTTAGTGCCAAGAGTTCAATACCACTCTCATGGCTGTACGCTAATTATGAAGCAACAACCGGCTGCCAGTTAGCATAGCTTAGCACACCAATCTGTGGTGTCTAAAAGTAACAACATCCCCCTACCAGCATCTCTAAACCTCTGATAGTTTCTCACCAACACAAAAAGTGTAAAAGTGTAGCTTTATGGGGGAATTTTGTACTGGACTACCTCTTGGTTGCAGTGACAAGAGTCCAGGAAGTCTGTGCTCCTGCCCCATAAATAGTCCCGTTTATAACCCTGTGTAAAACCACATCTCATCACTTTTTACGGATTAAACAAATGTGAGATAACATGTTAGAGGTGCTGGTAGGCCTATGTTGTTAGCTGCTCACCACTGTTGCCTGTCTTTGTGCAGAGTTAAGTGCTGTGATTGTGATCAAGGATCTAGTAGAGAGCAGATGATTTGAATTAATCGCATATAAGTCAGAGAAGCAGTTTCTCACCTTTTCTGGCTTGTGGCTCCTCAAAACAAAAAAAAATTTCTACTTCTAACTTGAGATCAGTTCAACATGATTCATTTTTCCTTTGTTTTACTAGAACGACTTAAAAGAAAAAAAAAAGAAGAAAAAAACTAAAAGAATTCTTCTTTCCTCCTCTGTTAATGACCCTGCAGAAAACCTCAAGTTCATCTTATTCTTTATAGGAATTCGATGTTGAATGAAATAAGCAGGACATAAGGTTCAAATAAAAAAACTTTATCTTAAGATGAACCTCTGCAGGTGTACATCATATGAATAGGTTTCAAGGATATGGACTGACCCCAAGGGCCAAAATCACACTGAAACATTCATTCTATAATTTTGAATGCTGGTCAGAATACAGAATTACACTTAAATCCCACAACCTCTAAACCTGAACCTAAGAAATAAAATTTCAGGGGACAGCAGTGAAATGTGATTTCTCCAGGTTTGTATTCCAGCTTCATTCTCCCTCCCTCCCTCCATCCCTCGTCTGTGTCGCTTGCCCTCAGAGACCCTGCGGGACTCGGGGCAGCTCACTGGTTTGTGACTCCGCTTTTATTGAGGGGCAGATATTAGCTATCTGTTTACATGTGTATTCGTTCAGCAGGCAATTTCAGATGCACTTTGTTTATAGATCGTCCCTCAATCTCCCTCGGCATCTCCCAGGTGAGAGTAAGAGGGAGTTTATTGGATTTCACCCTCCACTGCCTTGCCCACCCGCCTCTCCATACAAGTTGTTCATTAAACGTTCCAGTCAATTGGCTGAGATTGGTTGTGATGTCTGGGTGAGCGAGCATGGCGCCCCCCTCAGGCCACATGTGTTGCTGAAAGAACCGCTCCATCCTTCTTCATGTCGAAACACAAACACACACCCTTCATCATGCTGCTTAGAGTCACTCATGGAGATGATGAGGTGCATGAGGTTTTATTGGACGTGTTAGTGTGTTTGTGATTTCTGATCACAGCTCGGTTTCGGTATTCATGATTCTGCTCCCTTCGTTCTTAATTCCTTCTCTTTTCCGCCATCAGCGTTCTGGGTTGCCCCATAGCCAGGAAGCGCCGCCTAGAGGAAGCGGAGGCCGAGCAGGAGCAAGAGCAGGAAACGGAGCGGCCCGCCTCCAAGAGGAAGTCCCACCCCCTGAAACTGGCCCTGGACGAGGGCTTCAGCGCAGAAAGCGACGCCAGCAGCGAGGCTGAGGGCGAGTTAGAAAAGGATGGAGAGAAAGCAAGAGAGACCAAGGAGGAGGAGCGACAGGAGGAGAGAGAGGCAGCTGTAGAGGAGGAGAAAGAGGAAATGACAGAAGACCTGATGCAGGATGGACGGACAAATGGACAGGAAGTGGAGACACAGAGTCAGGAGGAGGAGGAGAAGACAGAAGAGGAAGACACATATCAGAAAGAGGAGAACACGTTTGCCGCTGATGAAGGTGATGAATACTCTATGTCTGTATCATCTTCAGAGGGAACCAGTTACTGCTGAAAAAAGAAGACAATTACCCAATTAGTCCATCGACAACACATTTAATAATTGATTGATCATTTAAGTTTTTTTGTCAAGCAAAAATGCCCAACATTCACTCATGTGAATATTTGATGTTTATCTCTGTTCTGTTTTATATATCATTTGAATGTAATTCCATAAAGGTGAGGAACTCACACAAGACGGATACAGAAAAGAAACGAGTCATCAAAATCGATCAGCAGAGACTGAGATATCCTGACTTTTACTCCTTAGTTTGGGCCGAGCTCCAAAACACTGAATCCTAGAGTTCCTATACTGCAACTCAATAGCATCTTTCTTTAAACTCCCATCCACTGGCCTCCAGCCAAAATAACATTGATGACATCACTATGACATCATCAGGGTTATTTTTCAAACTTCAGTACTTCTCCAGAGACATTATACAACATGGGGTTTTACTCCCTTTGATGAGTAAACTGAACTTCATGTGTAAAATGTGCCCCTTTAAGGAGTGATAAAAATGCACGTTATTTTAATTAAAGCTCCCTGTGATTAACAATTACAGTTAGTCATAATCTTTATCATGTACGACCTAACATAATCCTTTTGAAACGAGTGCTACCTGAGAGGCCTTACCCAGGGCAATAAAGTCCTTCAGCCACATCATATACAAATACAGCTAGTATTTAGGGAGTGTGCAATACCAGAGTACATAGCCACAGAGTTACAATAATATTGCAGGAGGTGAGTGGCCATGCCTCCTAATGACCACTGCGAGCACTTGGACTCTTCCTGCATCTACAAGCTGCTTTTCCTGTGACCCCGTCACAGCAGGTGTTTTTATGTCATTATGAGTTCACCGTGAATGACTTGGCAGGTTGGAAGGCGGTGATGATAAAGATATTGCTGACAACAGCTTTAGCTCACTGCATGACTCACTCTTCTCTCTGTGTCACCGCTCTGACCTCTTCATCTTCGTTTCCACAGAGGAGGAGTGTGTGATCATCGAGCCCGAGCTCAGAGCAGCGCCACCTGTACCCGAGGAGTCTCCTTCTCAGAGCGCTGAGGAGGTGGGCAACTCTCTCCTCCACCTGGGCCGAGTTTCCAACAACAATGATGCAACTGTGGCCATTCAGCAGCCTGTTGCTATGGAGACTGAGGAGGATGTCAGTGTAGCAGCCAAATGGGGTGAAGAAGTAAAGGACAAGCAGGAGGGGGACATGAATAAGGGGGGAGAGGAAGAGGAGGCAGCACACAGAGTTCAAGTATTGGAAGAGTCATCTGTTCTGCAGAAGGAAGCAGTTGAAGTGGAGGGAGCAGAGTTGGAGGAGGAGGAGGTGGAGGATGAGCATGAAGACATTAGCCACCACGTGAGCCAGGAGAACCACCAGTATCTGACCGCAGACATCCACCATGAACAAATCAAAGATGAAGAGGAGGAGGAAGAGGAGGAAGAGATGGCAGTGCCAGCACAGCAGAGGCAGGACACCTCAGCAGTACTAGAGGAGGATGAGGACAGAGATGAAGAGGACCACAGGGACCATGTTCTGCCCATTTCTGATGTGCCAACTGCCATCCGCACCATCACCAGCACCGCAGAAGCTCAGGGAACACACATCAAGACTGAAGACCACAGGGCCGGGCCTCTGGAGGACTACAGCTCACACAGGGCAAGTCCCCTTGACAAATGTGACTCTCATAAACCTAGCCCACTTCAAAACTACAAGGCCAGCCCTCCTTTAAGCTACAGCTCCCACAGGGCCAGTCCACTGGAGGACTACTTTCCCAATGCCAGAGTTGAGAACTATAAAATCCACAAAGCCTCGTCCTCAGCCTCTCCCGACATCATCGAGGTGCGATCAGATAGGTCAGAGGAGAAAGACTTTGACGATGTGGACGGGGACGACGAGCGTGATGACGAAGACAGCCTGTCTCAGCGCTCCACGGTGACTGACGAGTCAGAGATGTTTGACATGACCCGAGGGAATCTGGGCCTGCTGGAGCAAGCCATTGCCCTGAAGGCAGAGCAAGTGAAGCCAGCCGGGCCCAGGGAGCTGCTCCGTGCCCCGGATATCCACCACCAGCGATACTTCACCATGGATGACAGGCCCAAACACCTGGACGTCCTACGCAAGAGCTACTTCAGCAAAGGTAGGACAGAATGAAGAAGCAAAGAGGGGAGGGCAGAGCTAACACGTGTACTGACACGTGAAAGTTGCTTGAAGTAGGCAACATTTAGTCTACTTTATTTTTATAGCCATGTTAGCATCACATGGTTAGTGCTGCTAAAGGCAGAGTGATCACCTTTGTGGTGAATTCAAGGATGCTCCAACATCCCAGACCTGACAGCCACCTGCTGATAGAAGTATTTTTGCACAAGGTACTGTGTGTTGTGGACACAACAGTAATACAAGATAAATAAATAGTTGTTCCTTTGATCAGAGTAAAGTCTTTTTTTTTTTTTTTTTTTTACCAAGACTTAGATGAGAGAATTGATGCCTGTCTCATGTCTGTTTGTCAAATATGAAGCTAGAGCTATGAGACAATTAACTTAGCTTGGCATAAAAACTGGAAGGGATATTCATTCATTTTTACTTTTCTCAAGATATACTGTATGTTAATTTGTTAGCTTTGAAAGTGTTAGTAGGCAGATTTGTTTTTTACTATGGCGTAAGTCAAGCTAGCTGTTTGCCCCTGCCTCCAGTCTTTATGCTAGGTTAAGATAATCGTCTTCTGGCTCTATATGCTTATTGGCCATTTTGCCAAGACTTGATGAGAGGACTGATACCTGTCTCAAGTCTGTGTACTAAATATGAAGGTATAAGACAATTAGCTTAGCTTGGTATAATGACTGGAACCAGAGTGAAATAGCTAGCCTGCCTCTGTCCAAAGATATTCAGACATTTATACTTTTCTCCAGATATACTGTATGTTAATTTGTTAGCCTTAGTGCTTGTTGTCAAGCTAGCTGTTTCCTCTTGCCTCCAGTTGTTATGCTAAGTGTATTTAAAGTGAATGCACCAGCACAGATTCTTCAAAGCCACAACTTCTCAGTCCCCTGTTAGCATGTAACGAAGATGTAGCATTAGTAAAAATAAAGGTTCAAAATGTATTGTAAGGCCTAAACATGCAACACCACCAGTATAGTATGAAATGATTGGTCTGTAAATCTGGTCACACATAGGTGGATGTCCAGAAATATTTGTATTAAACTAGCACAAGGTGTCATGTGCTTAACTTAATGTTGAAGCGTACAAATAAACACAGCATATCAAATAAATAGCAATGAGTCACAGAGCTCCATGTAGATCCTCCCACCTCCATTGTGAGGGGATGAAGTGGTTCCAGCTGAATAGACTTCGATGAAGAGCAGAGAGGAAGTGCTTGAAGAGAGAGCGAGGAGGGACAACAGCAAGAGGGGGAACACAAGAGAGATGACAACAAGTTAGAGAGGCAGAGAAAGACGAGAGAGAGAGAAAGGAAGAGTGCAGGTTGTTCCACAGTCAGCGGTGGAGTGTTTGTTTACATGCTGCATGTGTTCGGGCCTTGTTTTTCCACAGCTGGCACGCTGCCCACTTGTCATGCTCCTAACAGTATAGCAGTAGTGTGATTACATGCCTGGTAGTGCTGCCCTCTCCTTGCCCTCAACTCCCTCCTGTGGTGACGTTCCTGTTCTGCTCAACACTAATTAGGAGATGCATGTCTCGTTAACATTCAATTTGAAGGCCAATAGAGCATCACACCATCCTCTTGCTCCCTTTCCCTCTCTCCAGTGCCACTGATACTGGCTGGCCTACCTCCAATAGCAGTAGGGAGCAGTAGGTACCTTTAATTATGTGTGAATTTTAGTGGTGTAATCTCCTCCTGATCTATTTGCAGGTGTTGTTTTGTCCGAGATCTGAATGAGATCCTTGAAAATATCAGACAAGTGTAGCGCGGGGTGGAAATGATCAAACCGTGCGGGATAAGTTGGTTGATTTTGTCTGGGTCAACATTGAAAAAGCTGTAATATTTTATACATTTGATAGTATTTCATCCTTGAAAGCATTTACAGAAACACACAAATCACATTTAGACTGATGCATTAAACACCTTGTGCATTTACAGAGATACATAAGACATGAGGAGCAGATACAGATGGTGTTGCTTTTGTACAGTTGTCTGAAATATGTCTAGATTTCATGCTCAGCCAAGCAGACTGTCTGATGGCATTAACCACTTGCTTTTGTCCTCCTTATCCATCCCACATTCCCCTCTCCTCTTATCTCTCCTTCCTTCTCTCTGTCTCTCACCACTTTGTTCCTCCTCTCCTCTCCTCTCCTCTCCTCTCCTCATCCTTTTCTCTTGCTACCCTCCCATCATCCTTCATCCAGAGAGCAGCAGGCCAGAGAAGAGGGAGATCAAGTGTCCCACTCCAGGGTGTGATGGGACAGGTCACGTGACCGGCCTTTACCCCCACCACCGCAGCTTGTCAGGCTGTCCGCACAAGGACAGGATCCCCCCGGAGAGTGAGTTTCTTTTTTTTTCAGCTGCTTAGAAGATGAAAATAAGCACTGAGAGAAGAAAAATGACAACAAAGGGCAGTCTGACATTGATAGAAACCCACCACCTCTCCTGACTGTAGAGTTTGACATCACTTAAGTGCTGTAATACCAGTTTAATCATGATTTCATGACGTTTGGAAGAGTTGGTGGTCTGATCCAGGCTTACTGAATCAAGGTCGCTTTGGCCTCTCATGCATCAGATGTTCAGACCATCCGTGTAGTAGCAGTACTTTGAGGCTGTGGGGGTTACCAACCTATTCTGCTGAGAGAGGATACTATCAAACGTGTAAAAGGTGACAGGTCAAAGAGGTTGACTTGCTAACAAAATTCAAAATGGCTTGATTTGGTTCTCTAAAAATATGCAGACAGGAATCAGCAGTGGTTGTTTGTTTTTTCCTGCTTAGCCCCATATCTGCATGTGATTGTAAAGATGCTTCCCACATACGTATATATCAGAGACCATCTTTCTGTAGCCATGACTACAGGTCCATTAAATGTAGTACAGTTCCCTGCTATTCTCTCATTAAGATTCACTTCATAGTCCTGCTGGTATTTATACTTAGGGACTGTAAAAAAACTATTAGGAGGGGCAGCGGAGGTCAGAAATGATTGTATTTTTTCTTTTTGCTAATGGCAGGGTAGACTAATTTTATGTGAGCAGGAGATGGTCTCATCTATGTTATTTTAAAATATATTGCAAACAAAAAGAATAAAGAGAAACATGCCAGGAAAAAAATGTGTGTCTGGCATACTCAGCTGCCTCCTCTGTGGACATTTGTCATCAGTGATTTACTTGTGTTTTGATATTTAACATTGCGTTGTTTGACACAGTTGTGTGGAGGAAACAGGCTTCGTCTGCAGCCACAGAGCTGCGGCCTGTGTCTGGTTCACTCATTCGATGGCAGTAATAACCGTTCATTTAGCAGCTCTTTGTTCAAAAATAGAAAGTAGCTGAAATATTCAGCATTTTATAGGGGAGGGCCCAAAGAAAATATTTCTAATGCTGGGGTCGATTTTTTTTTTTTAATAAAAGGAAATATAAGATTCAACCCCCTACCCACCCCAAAAGTTTTCATACAGTCCCTCACATGAAATGAATGTGTTGAATTGTTGAAAATAGTGGATTTTCTCTGACTGTTATTTTGTGTGTGTGTGTGTGTGTGTGTGTGTGTGTGTGTGTGTGTGTGTGTGTGTGTGTGTGTGTGTGTGTGTATTCTTTCTCTCTCTCTAGAGAGATTTTATAACAATTTGATAGTATTTCATCCTTGAAAGCATTTACAGAAACACACAAATCACATTTAGACTGATGCATTAAACACCTTGTGCATTTACAGAGATACATAAGACATGAGGAGCAGATACAGATGGTGTTGCTTTTGTACAGTTGTCTGAAAATATGTCTAGATTTCATGCTCAGCCAAGCAGACTGTCTGTGGCATTAACCACTTGCTTTTGTCCTCCTTATCCATCCCACATTCCCCTCTCCTCTTATCTCTCCTTCCTTCTCTCTGTCTCTCACCACTTTGTTCCTCCTCTCCTCTCCTCTCCTCTCCTCTCCTCATCCTTTTCTCTTGCTACCCTCCCATCATCCTTCATCCAGAGAGCAGCAGGCCAGAGAAGAGGGAGATCAAGTGTCCCACTCCAGGGTGTGATGGGACAGGTCACGTGACCGGCCTTTACCCCCACCACCGCAGCTTGTCAGGCTGTCCGCACAAGGACAGGATCCCCCGGAGAGTGAGTTTTCTTTTTTTTCAGCTCTTAGAAGATGAAAATAAGCACTGAGAGAAAAATGACAACAAAGGGCAGTCTGACATTGATAGAAACCCACCACCTCTCCTGACTGTAGAGTTTGACATCACTTAAGTGCTGTAATACAGTTTAATCATGATTTCATGACGTTTGGAAGAGTTGGTGGTCTGATCCGGGCTTACTGAATCAAGGTCGCTTTGGCTCTGTATGGCATCAGATGTTCAGACCATCCGTGTAGTAGCAGTACTTTGAGCGCTGTGGGGGTTACCAACACTATTCTGCTGAGAGAGGATACTATACAACGTGTAAAAGGTGACAGGTCAAAGAGGTTGACTTGCTAACAAAATTCAAAATGGCTTTGATTTGGTTTCTCTAAAAATATGCAGACAGGAATCAGCAGTGGTTGTTTGTTTTTTCCTGCTTAGCCCCATTACTGCATGTGATTGTAAAGATGCTTCCCACATACGTATATATCAGAGACCATCTTTTCGTAGCCATGACTACAGGTCCATTAAATGTAGTACAGTTCCCTGCTATTCTCTCATTAAGATTCACTTCATAGTCCTGCTGGTATTTATACTTAGGGACTGTAAAAAAACTATTAGGAGGGGCAGCGGAGGTCAGAAATGATTGTATTTTTTCTTTTTGCTAATGGCAGGGTAGCCTAATTTTATGTGAGCAGGAGATGGTCTCATCTATGTTATTTTTAAAATATATTGCAAACAAAAAGAATAAAGAGAAGCATGCCAGGAAAAAAATGTGTGTCTGGCATACTCAGCTGCCTCCTCTGTGGACATTTTGTCATCAGTGATTTACTTGTGTTTTGATATTTAACATTGCGTTGTTTGACACAGTTGTGTGAGGAAACAGGCTTCGTCTGCAAGCCACAGAGCT